CTCGGGAGGCTGAGGCAGGAGAATCGCTTGAACCCGGGAGGCGGAGTTTACAATAAGCTGAGATCGCGCCATTGCACTTCAGCCTGGCAACAGAGCGAGACTCCGTCTCAAAAGCAAAACAAAACAAACAAAAAGAGACAGAAAAACAAAAACAACAAAAAAAAACAAAACCCCAAAACCTTGTCCTGATTCAGCACTCAAATTCACCAGCTGGAGAGGAAGAAAAAATTCCGTGACCTCACGAGGGCCAACAATGTGGACCATACATGCAGCAGCGGCTACTTTCTTCCGCCCCAAAGCTTGCGCAGGGCCGCTGGAAATTTGCCATATTATATGAAGGGGGTGAACCTTAACAAATTGTCTCCTGCATCCCAAACTCGCTCCCCATCTGATCGTTATCTGGAGCAGTCCTCAGATTTGACCAGAAAGCTCTTATCATTCACACCCGCCCCAGGAACCCCCAATCCAGCCCCAGCTCCCCAGTCTCACTCTTCTGTTCCCCATGCACCTGGGTTGGTCTAGAGACCCTCCTCCCAATTTGATTCTCAGCCAAAACCCCAATGCGCGGCGACCCTGGCGCGTGGCAGGACGGGATTTGTAGTTCCAGGGTTTATCGGAGGGTGGGGGAAGGGAGGCCTTTACGCATGCGTTTGTGGCGGCTTTCTGCACGTGTTTCTCAGCCCAGGTTTCAGTCCAGCGCAACTGGCTACCTCGGAATCCCAACTGCTCCTTTAGGGTGTCTTCCTCGATTCTTCGAGTGGAGTTAGGCGCCTGCCGACACTTCCCTAACCTTGGAGGCCCAGTACTTGCTTTTCATGAATGAAAGGAGCCGGGACTGACTTTGCCTACGGCAAGTGGGTTGAGATAGCGGTTCCCCTCCTTCAGGCAGGGGCAGAAATTGACCTGTGCCTCTCGAGGGTCAAAAAGTTCCTCAGATCAGGGCTGGGTTGTTCTTTGGGATTAGCGCCGGTGAATTCATTAGATATCGGCTTAGGGAGGGGCTGAATACAGTAAAAGAACAGCCTTGAACCTTGGAGGGTAAAGCCACGTTTTTAAGGAACAAGTTAGAGCTGGCCAGGTCATGCTTAACTTGGATGATCTCTAATCGCGCGAACTGCTCTTTTACCCATTTGACAAGTGGGGAAACTGAGGCTTCAAGTGGCAGGAGGTCTCCCACTTTGTTATCGGCAGGGCAGGGAGGGGAAACCAGGACGTTCCAGGGTCTCCAGCTCTTTACCATCTGCTCCTCTCTCGAGAAGGAAAAACGGTGTCCTACTGTCTTCAGACGTCGCAAGGATCGCGAAGATTTCTTTCTTCATGACCCTGCTCTTGCCAGAATTTCCTGCGCTGTTCCACCTCATTCAACTTCAGGTAGGGAAAGGGATGAGGCCTGGTTCAAAGTTTATTAGTTCATTTCGTTTTATTAAAAAATGTATATCCTTGTGGCTTTTTTATCTACTTGTAAAAACTGCCCAACAGTACGGGAAAATAATGCAAAAATTGGTGGAGGCTTCTGTAGGAACCCGGCTTGTCTCAGGCACTTACTTTGTCCTGCTTTCTTTCCTTTGTCTCTGGGCTGTAAAGACCATGCTCAACTCTTTCCTTACGCGCACACAGCGTACTCCTCCCAAGTACCTCTGGATGGGGGAAGGGAGGCATATTTCAATTTTTAGTGGAGGAAGGTGACAAGGAGGTCGCTGGCTGTGGCCGAGGGGTTCCTGGATCCACCACACACAGAAAGTCCCCACGCGCTACCAAACTCCTGGTTGCAGCTAAAGAGCTTGCGGTCAGGTCAGTGTAAAATGCTGGGAAAACGAGACACGGGGAGGACCGGCCGGCTAGAGAGGCCAAAGAAACGGCAACTCTTTCGTCACGTGACCGGGCCTCGTCTCAGCCCGGGTTTCCCAAGCGCCAGGGCACGTGTGAAGGTTGAACCTTCCGATTGGCTCGGCGGGACCAGTTTGAACAGAGTACGGGAGCCGCGGCGGCTCACCTACGGCCGCGTTTTTTTTTTTTT